TTATATATTTCATTATGTTATATTATTTTCTACATTTTTATTATTTACATATACTTTGCTATATCATTATTATCTTATTATCTTATTATTACTATACTATTTTTTATTATATTATTTATTATTACCATATTATTATTTATTATCATATATTTTACACTACTTAAATTACTTTAGTAGGGGCAAAGTAACTACGATGGCCCGATTGCTCTCTTCGCCTCACTTGTGTAAGGAGTTATCCAAAACCGGAATTTCTAGAAGTTAAGCGTGAGGATTTGGCCTTCCATATGATGTGTATGACGCAAGTTGGATTGAAACCACGACGGCATTTGTTTTTGGTGAATGTATGAAGGCCATTCGCATTCATTAGCGTAGACGAACTGAGCACACACAAGCCAACAGACATGAAAGTGACCACCTCCTATGCCTTGTGTATTCAAATCTGAACATTGCTACGCATCCCGCTGAACCTGCAGGGACACGGATGGTGCTTGGAAACAGAACATAGGCTGATCGTACGCCTCACTAGTAGTACACACCGTTACACTGGAACTAGTCTCTGGCTGTATTCCGAGTCCCATTTCCACCTCCATGCTACTCCTTTATGACGTCTCAGAGGACTACGAGGTGGATTAAAAACCAGAGAACGTCACCACCGGTGGAAGGAAGTGGGCCGTCGCTGTGAACTAGAGGTCAGTCTTCTCAGAGGAGAGGTGGATTAAAAACCAGAGAACGTCACCACCGGTGGAAGGAAGTGGGCCGTCGCTGTGAACTAGAGGTCAGTCTGTGTGTGGTTTTGTTCAAAGACCAGTAGGTCGTAATGCTTACACACGGCGTCGATTACAGGAACCCATATGGATCCAGGATGCGACAAATCTAGCAATCGCATAGTTCAGGAACAGTAGAGTCTCACCTCGAGCAATCCTACTTCGGTTTATGGTGTTAACAGTAACAGCTTGTGAGACTGAAGCACTTCATTCGAAATTTTTTGCCCCATTGGGGAGCTTACTTTGAGAAATACTGTGCGGAAAATTAATATACGAATTTTTTGGCAGCATGGTATCAAACAGACTTGCAGAATTCCAGAGAACCATAATCAGCCAGTTACTAGCGGACCACATCTGTGTGTAGATTTTCGGATTGCAGGCGGTAGTCAATCAGCCATTTGATGTTCACACCTACGGCGAATATGTAACCCCAAGCTACTTCACACACTGTTATCATTGGGATGTACTTGCCAAGCCTAAGGGCGAAGTGATCAATCTGCATCTGACGAAATCAGTCCAGTTGATCAGAATCGGTCGCAAAAATCCGAACCCTCCCGCTCCTGTTTCGCCAATTCTTATGTCCGAGGCTGAGGCATTCGGGACTCTGCTGCTCGAGAAGTTCGTACATCAAATGGCACCAGAAGGAACACTCCCCGAATATTAATACGTGGTAGGTTAGCTGCTCGTTTTTCGCCACTTGGTTTCACGTACATCACTATCAGGAACGGTCTTCGTCAGAGACATTCTTTCTCAACAGTCTTTCCCCATAAAGATCCTGAAGGAGTCACATTGATTTCGTTAGCTGATAGCTGGGGAAATCCTGTGAGAGCTTCAAGACCACATGAAGCCCTTGGCAGGTGGATACTGAGATGGGTGGTCAATTTACAATTTGCACCTACTTACCAAGTCAAGTCAAAAGTAGATGGCCGCAGTAAACTGCAAAATACTCCATCCAGTGCACTACCACCATGTCTCATCCCAGTACGACAAGCGAATTGACGGTTTCTGAAAGCTCCCTTTGACAGTTTGATTACAAGAGGCAACACCATCAAATGCTATAGCAGCCGAAAAGACTTTAGACGTAACGAATTTGACATGTACTTCTTCTCTCTGGCTTTACAGGAAGCCGGAACAGGGTTTCATTCGTGCTATAACTACGTAGCGTAACCCGCTCCACATAACCCAGAATATCACTTCATCGCCACTGACTGCTGGGATAGTTCACTGACATCTGCAAACATTCGCTATGGTAAAAGTAAAGTAGAATAGAGGCTAACAAGTCAATGCAGGCACACCGGTAGAGCGAAAATCACGTCCGTCATGAGTAGTGGAAACACAAACTAATACTTACTTACTTACTTGCCTACTTACTTACTTACTTACTGCACGCCATCAGTACTGACTTACTTACTTACGTACTTGCTTGCTTACTTACTTGCTTACGTATTACTTAAACTGGATGATGGTTCATCACATTCACTATTTTACTGAATATATCCCTAGCGGTTTAAGGTCGTTATTTTGCAAAACTAGTACGCGAAGTTGGATACGGCTGGATTCTAACTTCGTTTGCGCTGAATTCAATTGGGTACGAAGCCAAATGTTAACGCCAAATGTAACGCCTGACCTACCTGCATCGCTGAGAGAAAATTATAGCCATTCTGATCGACGAACGTCAATGAAAACTCAGTTTTTACCCAAAGTTCACTAAAATGAAAATACTAGCTACTGACACTAATTGTCTATTATTCTATCTCCTTAGTTGATTCACCAAGTAGGCAACCTGTGTGAGGTCAGAATATGGTTGTCGGCAACCAGGAAGCGCGTACGTGGTTGTCTTATCAGGATGCAGTTTCAGGTTTATTGAGCAGTTCCCTGATAAAAATGTGGGCGAATTAGAAGGGTAAATCCAACCAGTTGGTGTGGCAAGGCAATGGCTTTTTTCAAAGCATCTCGATGGAAATGGCTCACAAGTGAGGTCTATATCCACGATGATTGGGTTTGCTGGTAAGTAAAGTTGGTCAGCCTACTGACTAAGCCAGCCCCTGCACACATCGTTCTTCATATTGTGAGCCGATTGCTGATTAATTGCCACTGCTGTTTGCCCCGCAAATAAACTGGGTGTAAAAATATCCTTTTTGAAAAGCTGGGCTCACATTTGCAATTGAGCATAAGCAAACAACAAAAACTGCATCCTGGGCGGAAAGTGGATCCTAGGATATAACCGCGAGAACAGACTCCTGCTTGCTATTTGGTTACTGAACCGCCAACCCATCCTGGGTATGACCGAGGAACATTAACGCGTTATTTCTGGAAAAAGGTTGAAAATGTTTTTGTATAATTTAACCACATGATTTCCAGTTTAACACATGTGATTCAGTGCTTGGATTTTGTTCGCTCCTGACGGCTAGATTAGACATAACGACCTGCAATTTGGAGTACTGCGGCCTCCTCACAACTCGTGAAACAAGAAAATGGGCCTCACGCACAATTCCTTGTTAAGGAATAGCTACACGTTGCATGCGGTCTGAAGGACTTTGATGGATACGGGCCCGCTGTTCCCTCAGGTTTTAGAAATCATTCAGTTTTATGCTGACACTTTCTGGCGTCTCCATGTAGGTCCATATATTTTCAGCGTGTGAACATCTTCGGAATATGACGCAAATGAATGTCGGTCTCATCTGGATTAACCTAATGCTGTCTACTTCACAGAAATCGAGGTTCTGCAATTTGCCGGAGACTAGCGCCTACGATGATGCAACGGTGATTTGCTTTCTTAGTTTGTGTACACCAGTCTGCGTGCAGGCTTAATGGTCGGAAAGGGACGCGATTGTCTTCTTAATTGATCAAATTCTGGGAGCTTGGGAGAGGTGGATTTTGTGCACTTAAAAAGGAAAGCTCATGACGCCAGGAAACATGTTCCGTCACTTTTACACAGTCATATTCGGGGGCGTAAACTGCATGTAGTGTACAGTATACGGTATGCAATCCTTCGCGGTTTTTCGCATTTCAAGGATATCCCTGTTATTGCCTGCTCTTACTGCGTATGTATAAATTTATATTTGGAAGCAGAAAGCAGTTAAATATGACTGCCTATTTTACAATAGCTGCTGTCCAGCGGAATTCAATTTTATGCACTTGAAATGAAAGGTTGGGTTTACACTTCAGTTTGGGTAATACCTACTGGCTAAAAATCAGTAGTCTCCCCAAGCAACGTTAGAACCGATAGCAAGCAAAGTAAACTAGATATGGCAGGGTTGGGTCTTAAAGTGATATGTGGTGAATCCGTGAGTGAAATTTCTGAAGGTCGGGTCACTGGGTTATTCAACGGACAGTTTCATGCTGCCTATTTCTTTTCTTGTCTGTCTGTTGTACCGCGAGTCTTACACACGTTAAACATGGACGCTTTTTGTCATGAGACAAAATAATCGAACGCTATCCTCATCCGGTAATGCGTGCGCAATTTTCTTCAATCAGAAATAAAATTGGAGGAGTCGAAGCCCCTGCAGAAATTCTTGGGGGCGGTGCTAGTAACGCGTGTTCACTTCCCACAGAGAAAGCAGTTAATCTGTCTTGAAAAGCGCCTTTTTTGGGACATAAGATAGCAACACTGCTGTGCCGCTAAAATTTTATTTTCCTTGGTTAGTTACATTTGACAATTAAAGAATGCATTTTCACACGCCATCAGCATGAACAGATTTAGACTTTAATTATTTCCGTTTGGAAAGTACTCGTTTGGGATTTAATTCAGTGACCAACATTTACTTTATATGAAATGACGAAACCTGACGTGATCAAGTATTTGAACATTGTCCCAATTGAACTTGTATCCTTCTCTGTCTTCGTAGATTGAGACGAGTGACATTGGGTCATGTTTTCTGCTGGCAAGCTTGTGTTTGTGTATTCCAGTAGGACGTTTTCTTCCGGTATGGCCAAAGTAGTGTTTGTCGCAGTCATTGCACTTAAGTTTGTAGACCACGTTAATCATCTTCAATGCATCCAACCTTCCCTTTGGTTCCGAGAGAGTACTTCTCAACGTGCTTGCGGGCTTGAAGACGTAACGGCTACCCGAAGACTTTCACATGGAGGTGCTTACGAGACCACTACCAAGCTGACCTGTCAATACAACCAGAACGGAGGAAGATCACGCTGCCGTATATCAGAAACGTGGTGGAGATGACTGCAAGACATCTACGGTAACATGGTATTACAATTACAGTCGCCTTCAAGCCTTTAAGACATTCTAATTCACTGGTTTACTGTCTCTATTCTGACCTGTCCATTGGTAACTCACGGTTTATGTCCGTCTTGGCAGATTTGAGTGACCATGTTGAATCCCAGATTAGAGCGACAAACTCCGGTTTATTTAAGTTTCCCGTATTATCTTTCGGGATGGTATGTTGCGAATATTAATGATGTCAATGATGAGTAACATTTTCACAGAGTAGCAGTTTGCAGGTGGTCCTAAATGGAGATTGATGCCCATCCAAACTCTTCAAGCAAATGCAACCAAGTCCGATCCGGATATTTTTCACGTTCGACAAATCGGTGTATTAAGCGTCTAGCCAACTCAAATAGGCTATTTGTAATTTTGAGCACCTTTTCTTTTATGTCCAAGTAGTCTGGTTCAATAGAGTCGGTAAAAGACAAGCGTACACATTCTCGTTAAATTTTTGAGTTAAACAAAGCACCAACCAGCCGTCCACGGACAAACAGTCAAGTGTTCAAACATCCGGCCAAAGTTTCCGTTGTCTGGAACTCCGTAGATTTTAACAGAAAGCATCCTATTTAAAAAGCAGCTCTGGAGAGCTCATCGTATTTTTAGCGCAGATTAACCATAACAACATAACAGAATACTTGTTTCACGTTTTCCAATCTGTCCATATCTTTTTCAATCGAAGCCTGATGTCTGCGTGGCGTGGAATCCCTACCTGAAAAATGATTGACGCCACATGCCGTATAAATCCACGGAATTCACTACATCAAACACCCTGACGTGTCCGAACTCCTTGATTCGAAACGCTCTCCTGAGGATCACTTGTTCAAATATCTTTACATCTCCATTCGGTACTCACCCCCAATAATTTTTTCACTGTGCTTCACTGGCTTCAGCTACCTAAATTACGGGACAGCTTTGCTAATCAAATGCTCCTAAATGCTCTTCGTTATGCGTTTTCAAAGGCCAGAAACACTCCTCATCGGAATTAGCAAGTTAATTTACCAAGTGGAATATTTAGGCATTGGTACTTGCAGCACTTTTAGTTTGTCTCTCATCTTTGTTAAGTCATAATTATTACGCTGGGTCCACGGACCTAAGCATCATTTTCAGACGTTCATTAGAAATTCCGGTTCGGTAAGGTATGACCGGACGCTCAAAATCTTGATAAGCAGTTAGCTTGAAATTTCGGCACGCATACACGTCGGTATTGTCTGGAAAAACTGTACGTCTTTTAACGCTGGAAGGAAGACAATGTAGCATCACAGCAAGTACTGTTGTTGCTCAGTGTCAAACCCAACGTCACCTAGCAAAGTCAGTTGGCAGGGATACCGCGGACGTTTTTGATGGTGATTTAAGTTTGCTGGGACTGCAAATTTCAAATTCTTGGGGTGAAAGGAAGAAGGCATTCGCTGCGGTGTTATTTATTGGAAAATGCTAGCTGACCA